GGGAGTTCTTCAATTGAGGGGGAGCTATTTTTTTGTTCTTCAATTGAGTGAGAAAGGGGGAGCCTATTTGAAGTCATCAAATTTCATTTCAAACTTTTGTTTTATCATCATCAAAAAGGGGAGAATGTTATTCTTGATTTTGATGATCACAAAAGCACTTTGAAATGTTTATCTAATTCTCTCCAAATATAAAAGTTTTGTTTTTGAGAATCAGGTGCAAAGGAATCAAGGAAAGAAAATCAACCAAAAGAAGAAGCAAAAACAGGGTACTCATACCGGACGTCCAAAACGAATTTGTCGGACATCCGAAAGGATGAAGAATATCAAGAAGGAAATTCTGTCGGACGCTCGAGAGGATGCATCGGATGTCCATGAGGATCGGACGCACGCCTCGGACGCTCATCGATCGTGTTGGACGTCCGAAAAATTTCACAAAGGTTTGATAACTCTCTGACGACGATCGGACGCATTGCTGTCGGATGATAATATCCCATCGGACGTCCGAACTATAACTTGCATGATTTTCGGACGATGGGATCGGACGATGACTAATCTGTCGGACGTCCGACAGCCCCAACGGCTAGCTGACTCTTCATCTGCCTTCTATCCGTTGGAAGCATTAATGAAGCTCATTTTTGGTTTCTTTTAAATACAAATGATTCTGAACCTGAGAGGGACTTTTGCACACTTTGTTTACAAGATCTCAAGAGATATTTTAGTGAGAAAATAGTCTCCTAAGCAAGATTTGTTCTCCAAGTGGTGTGAATTTCCTATAAGCTCTTCTCTTGTGTTTGAAATTTCAATAGTGTAGCTTTGTTGAGGGTTATCTGAGTGATAGTAAAACTTCCTAACTTGACTAAGTGAGGCTTGGGACAAGGAGGAAGTGATCCCTCCATTGTACATTGAGTTGATTATTTTTCATCAAAGTGAAGCGGCTCATCTTTGTGATTGGTCTTCAAGTTTGAGAAAAGCTTGGTAGACAATCGGTTTGATACTCTATCTTATTCTTTTTGTTCAATAAAATTCTCATTGCTTATATATATATTCTTAATTTTGATCAACATTGTTCTCTTCTTTAAATTTACTTGATTGATCACTGCTAGAAAAGAAGGTAAACCTTTTATTAAGGAAAAAGTGCATAAACTCAATTAAGTTTTTAATCAACCTAATTCACCCCCCTCTTAGGTTGTCTTTGGGCCTTACAGTTGGACATCAAAGTTTCCAAAACAACAAGTTTCAAATCAAGTTAGGCCATTTAACTAGCCAAAAGAGGATTTTCAAGGAAAAATCTAGGTTTGTAATTTGGCCATATCTCACTCAATTCAACATGGAATTGAGCGTAGTTGATGGCGTTGAAAACTAGATTCATAAAGCTATAAGTTCTTATAAGAAATCATTTTAAGAATCCATCCACTACTAGCTCACATTTGAGCATCAATTTGTAATTCATGTTCTGCCTTGTAGTGAACCAATGAAACAGGACAGCAAACTTCAAACGAATGGTTTTGCTCACACAAGTGGAACCAGGACGTGTATTTTATACCAATAGAAAGCTAGGAATGTCTAGTTTTCAGTGCCACAAACGGTACTGGATTTCGACATCGGAGAAAAATGTTACAGCCGAAACAAGATGACTGCCTGGGCAGTTACGGACACCATTTTCCAGTTTTCTAAGCTTTCGAAATCAACACACTTGGGTGACCAAATCATGTTATTTTTCAATAAAACTTTTCACACACTCAATATAACATGCATACATCATAAACAAGCCATTAGAATCTCAAAAATTTGGACCAAAGGTTACGAACATGGCAGGGGTCAAATGGTCACTTTTGGTCATAGCACCATCCTTGACTTTTTATCAACAACCCAACATTATTCCACTAATACAAGCACTAAACCAACATAAATTTCATCATCATTCACCAAATCAGTCCATCCAATCCAAGTGGGAGTTCATAGAGTCCACACAACAATTTTTCCAACATAAACAAGCTACCCATAAGCATGCATAAGCCTAGATGTGCAATACTACTTCCATAAAGTAAGATTTGAAGGGTTGATCGTCCTTTACCTCTCTTGATGAACTAGGGCAGAATTTTTGGTCCAATGAATGCCCAAGAAAACCATGGAAAGCAGACCTCTTTCTTAGCTTGATGTAATATCCAAGTGATTAGCTAAGAGTGGTTGAAATTTGAAGTGGAATGGAGAAGATTTGGTGAAGGAATTAGGATGGAATTAGAGTTGTTTTTCTCCTTTGTTGGTTTGGCTGTTGGGAGTGAGGAGAGAGAGGGAAAATCTGATGGAGCTTCCTTCTTGAAGGTAGCTTAATGGTTAAGTATTGGGTGCACAAAGTCAACCGCAAATAGTGCGCGTACGCGCGCGTTTTGTGCTCGATTTCTTTTATGTTTGTTGCATTAGTGCACTAAACCTATAATGCACTTATATTCATATCATTATTATTCACTCTTAGTAGTTCCAAAATAAAGGTCTAAGATCCTTCAATAAATCGCGCGCGTAAAAATGCGTACTTCCAATTTGTGTGCGATAAAATGGAATTTCCAAGAAATTCTTATACTGATAGTATCACTAACTAATACCTGAGTGTTTAAACATAAAAATACCTATTTTTAAGACTAATATATAAGTCTCCAATTTTTTGAGTTTATTGTATCCTGAAATCAGCTATAATCTCCAAACGCGTATTCGCTATTCTCACTTAACGAGCTTTCAAAAATTAATTTTTGTAACAAGTCATTTTAGAGATACATGTAAGTCATAGTTCCATGTAATTGAATCTAAAAAAAATTAGAAAATAATATTCGGGGCAAACAGGTAATTAAATATTTAAATAAACTCGTAACAGGAGTTTAAAATAAATAAATTTTGCGAGTCCTCACGACTTTTCTTAATTCACTATTGACCATTCTTACTTTTCCAAAATTAATACACTCTCAATTCAAATATAGTTTTGAAAAATGTGCACTCGTTGTTCTAAACTAAACGAGTTTTTGAAAAGTAAAACGCTTTAAAAACATAAGAGAGGCGTTTTTCCTTATAGATGAATTTTAAATAGTCGAATTAAATAATTTATTAAGCCAGTAAAATAAAATAAAATAAGAAAATTTTCGGGTCCTCACAACCTCCCCTCCTTAAAAGAATTTCGTCCTCACAATTCATACATTCTGTAATCTCAGATAACCCTAAACCTTGTTGAGTAATCATGTCATATGTTCTTCCAGATGCCATTGGTCGGTTTTCTCTTCCATTGACTTGTCGAGGGTTAGTTCTATTTCCTTGTTGAGTGGTAGTCTCTCGGAGATATCTCCTTGGACAGTCGTGAACTTTATGGTTGGTACTCCCACATCCCATACATTTTCATCTCTTTAGCCAACAGTTTTCTTCGGTATGGTTTGTCCTTCCACAATATCCACAGGTTGGACGAAAAATTGTGACTTGACTTGCTTGTGAGGTTTCTTTTGATCGTATCTGTCCGGTTGCATTTTCTCGTGACATAGTTCCTTTTGATTCCTTTATCATGAGTGGTGCAGGGAGTGATAGTCTTACTCCATCCTCTCCTTTTCTGATTTTGGGTGGTGATCCAATTTCTTTTAGGGTACGTTTGGTTCTCCATAGAATTGGAGTATAGAATTGGAATTGAAACCTCAATTTCAATTCTTGTGTTTGGGTATTATTTTTCCTATAGAGTTAGAATTGAATTGCAATTCTAAATCTATCGAATTCCGTAGTTTCAATTCTTTGGCTGGACCAAAGAATTCCAATTCCAATTCCACGCTTGAACTCTTAAATCGGGTCAATACGCGGGTCTTTTACGGGTAAAATCTCAAAAATGGGTCAACCATAAAATTGATGGAAAAAACTCAAATGTCTCTCTTCTCTTCCCATTATCGATCGCCATATCTAATGCTCTATTGGAGCATTCCTGCCGCCGCCTCCTCCACTTGTGCTGCCCACTGCATAACACAGGTTGAAATTATGGGGTTTTAATTAGTTTCTGTCAGTCTTCCCCTTCCCTTCTAGTGAATGAATTGAGAATTGATTCGATGAGTGAAGAATGAAATTTCATTACCAATTTGGCAAAATTCATTGATCATTACTTTTGTATTCCATTGTTGCTCTGATTGTCCACTGTCACTTGATTGATTATTTTCCCTTGAACTTTGATGAAAATTGGATAGCTCATACTGTAAAAGTTGAAAGGATTAATCATGATATGAAAAGGGAACCTTTTTGTTAGTGTTTTCTTGTTGAATGTTTGGTGTTGTTTTGTCTTTAGACAAGTAAATTGTTGAATGAAATTCTGGTTGATCTGTATTTGAATGGAATTTTGTGATCCCTTTTGTTTCTTATGGTGGATGGTGTGTAATATGAAGAACATACCTAGATATTGATGAATAAAAGGTTGATCCTGGCAAAATTTTAAGTGAACAGCCTCTGCAACGACTAATTTTCTCATCAGAGAATTCATCGTCTTTGAGTTTGCTCAATATCAAGGGATGCTCATGACTGAAATGTTGGATCTCCTCCATTAATTCTCTCTTGTGTGTATGTTGTGTGAGATTGAGGAGAGAAAATGAGGGAGTGTTGAATTTAGTTCTCTGAGCCTTAGAGCTTAATTATCAACTTTCCTGGCCAATGGCTGCTGAAATGTATATTAAGAAAAAAAGGTGAAAAATGCTTTACTTAAAGATCAACATAGCTTAAACCTTTTAGACTGCATATTCTTTGCTCTTAGTAGTAGCTAACAAATTGGAACTCACTTTCTTACCGAGGAAGTAGTCTTCATATTCACAAAAGTTTTAACACATCCTAATAAAGCATAAACAGTTTGCGTGAAAAAAAATGAAGGTTCGTTTCAGTAACACTATCTTCCTGCAGTCATAAGAAAATGAAAAATCAATTTTGCTTTTATCGTCTCTGATAGAATTCATCTCTTTAAAACTTGTATTATATTAACAAAATCTATTTCACCAATACGCATAAATTTGTTGGCTGTTGGCTGTTATGATCAAGTATATAACGTCTCCAGTTCACACTCCAAGGCTGTTGGCTGTTATGACCAAGTGTCAGATTAAAAAATCTTCTTAAAACCAGTTCTACTCTTCTTAACTTAGTATCTAGAATCATAGAAGGAATCACAAATTTACTTTGACAGAGCGAATTTTTAGTTCTATACTGCAGTGGCTGTTGAAAAACTTGCTGTCAGGGCCTGAAAAATATTTTATGTATCAGCTCAAGGCTGCTAAATTCTCGTCAATGGACATGGAATGTGATGAATGTTTGTTTTGGACTATTTAATGCTGTCATAAATTCTCTCACACACACTCTCTTAGCGTATATTTAAATGTGTTTGATTGTTCCTAATATGTTACAGGAAGGCTTGTTTAACCTTGCCCTGCATTTAAGTGAAGTCGGTGCATTCTTCTTGATATCAAAGTTGTGGGCTGATATGAAGTTGGGCATGCTTAAAGGCTGAAGATCGTCACTTCAGTCTTCCTTGTATCTGTGGTTTTATAAAGGTATTTATTTTCAAGCACTTAGAATGCTGTGAATAGGTTTTTGATGTGAAAATTATAGCTCTATCTCTGGCTTTCATGTTTCAACTATTGAGCCTGGTAATAACGGTTCAATTTTGACACTAATTAGAACAGTTGACTTATGTCTGAGCTTTCATCTTCAGATATGTCGAGCAATATATCAAGTAGATCCTTCATTTGTTGACTTGCATCATTGTTATGCCGACGCTTCGTCCTTGTCTCTTGATGTTCCTCTATGATCTTCTCAATCATTACATCAAACCTCTCAGCAATATACCTATGTTGTATCTGCTGCTTCATTGAAGTACTTTCTCTTGACCTCTGATCTGCAGAGTTATGCTTGAACATATACAATTCGTGGCTATCAACTCTCCTTACGGCTTAATGCGCAGCTACCTAAGTGAAGAATTGATATGAACAAACAAAGGGGTATTTGGAGATATGTGTTTTGGCTGGAATTTTTTTTGTTTTTAAGTTTCTATTTATTTACTGAAGAACATAAAACAGAGACAAACAAGACGAGGCGGTTGGAGTAGGCGTGGAAACGGGAGAAGCAGAAATTGGTTTATACAGTTGGCCTCTTGAGTTAGGATTTATTTGTAACTGATAGTTTTTAGCTTTTTGGTTTATGCAGTTGAAGCATTTGATCAAGTGTTTTTGTTGCATATGTAGGATTTATTTGTAACTGATTGTTTTCTTACCTTTTTTTCATGAAATATTGCTTCTTGATTTTGTAGTTATTGTCACATGAGTGAAAAATTGCTTCAACTTTTCCTCTCTCATATTTTTATCATGCCATTGGTACTTAATAGAGGAGTTTGAGTTTTAGTTGTGCATAGCTATTATGATTGATGAAATCTTTTTTGAATTTTGCATAAGTATTAGAAATAAGAAAGAATTTTGCTTTATTATAATATATCAAAACACAGTTGAAAATACCACGGCTGAGATGGGGAAATATTTCTTCACAAAAACGGATAATGGATCAAAACATGCTAAAGGAAATGCTCACCAAAGAAATTGATATGAGAGTGAGAAAAAATAAATTATTAAAGGCACAAATTGGTTTTTTCTTTTAAATCTTTAGTAAAAATTAGCTAAATGTAAGAAAAAAAAGAAATTATTATATAGAAAAAAGAAAAAAAGAAAAATTTTATGTAAGCATTTTCTTGAAAACAATTCTAATTCCTAATGAATTCTTCTCTCATACAAACAAAGAATTTGGAATTCCAAATAAATTCCGTATCAATTCTATGTATTTCCCAAACGAAAGAATTGAAATGACTTGGAATTCCAATTCATAGAATTCCAATTCTATAGAATTTCGATTCTAATTCAATTCTAATTCTATAGAAGCAAACGCACCCTTAGTCTATTATCGGATACATCTCTTTTCTTCGCTTGAAAGGCTCTCAGTTAAGATTTTGTACTTTCCACCCTTTGCGCTTTCTGGAGAGCGTCACTAAATGTTTCAATCTGTGCTGCGGCAAGGGCATCTTGAATTTCTAAATCTAATCCCTGGATAAATCGTCTTATTCTCTTCCGTTCAGTAGCCACCAATTCTGGAGCATATGTTGATAAATTCGTGAAACGTGTTTCGTACTCAGCCACACTTAAAATTCCTTGACGAAGCTTTATAAAATCGTTTTCTCTCTTTTCTTGGACAAGTGGAGGGAGAAATTTCTCATTAAACTCACGCACAAAGTTTATCCAAATCTTTGGAATTTGATCTCTTTCCCACTTATTTCTTATAACATTCCACCAAACTCGGGCCGCTCCTTCAAGTTGAAATACAGCAAATGTGACTTGTCTTTCCTCTGTATAATCCAAGACATCGAACATATTTCTTATATTCTCTAACCAATTCTCAGCCACTTCTGGGTTAGGTCCTCCAGAAAATTTGGGTGGGAAGAATTTCTGAAACTGCTCCAAAGCTCGATCCTCCCCTATCTCTTGGTTTCCACGTTGGTTTCCTTGTCCAACTCCCTGACCCTGTTGAGCTATCAAGAGCTCTAGTACATCTGTCATGCGGGTTAAAACTAATCCCATTCGATCATTTCCTTCCCCAACTCTTGGCTCGCCGTTTTGATCAATATCAGACCCATTACCTACTCTTTGATTTTGGGGTTGTCTAGGTTGACGTCCCTTTCGTTGTCCTCTAGTTTCCATGTTCACAGCTAATCTATATGCATATGTATAAGTCTCACACTAAGCTATAATTGAACTATACACATGCTAGTAATATCTTTTAAAGAAAAGGAAATCACTTACACAAATAACATTATCACTATGAAAGTAAACACAAATTAGAGCTCATTAAATCATAACACAAGTTTTAGTCAAGTAAACTCATACCAAGTCAAAGTCAATAAACAAAAGTAAACAATTGATTATCAAAAGTACATTCATCTCCAAGATACAACTCTTAAATCTACTCCCATCGTCCCACTACGAAAGATCACAAATAGTGTTTTACTAGATTAATTGGAACTAAATGATTCCCGTTCCCTAACATGTTCAACTTCAATCCCAATATAAGGATCTTTTGGCCATGATCTTCTCCGCATCCCACTCTTAATTATTGTGCCATTTTGGTCAAACGATTATTGGTTTTCTGTAACTATCCACGTAAAATATCGATTCATTATTATTCCCCACAAATGGAGATCTCAAGTCCTTAGGATTGTCCTCAACTCCCAAGTACTCGGGTACAAAAATCCGAGATAAGCTAATTCACAACTCGAGCCGGCCAGTTCCAAGAGTAAATCACCACATTCGAGATTTCTACCCAACATACATATCAAATTTCCTCCAAGTATCAAGACAAAGGTTTTACAACCTATTACATTCATGATTCACAGCTTACATTTCTAGAAGAGCACTTAAACTTTTACTCAATCATATAGTAAGGACCATAACACCAATTGGTCTAAAATCACCCCACACAGAGACCACGTAAAGTGGCTCTGATTTTCATTCCTATAAATAGTCACTTAACTTTCAAACCAGTCCCACAGTCCGGCATCCTAAACTTTTAAGCCTAGGACATACTACAAGATCTAAAACCTAAGCTCTAATACCAACTGTGGCGCCCCCACTTCTCGCTAAGGCGAACCAAAGGGTATCCGCAGGACGCCTGCCCACCTCTCTCCAGGACTCACTACAATCCATAATTTAAAAGTTCGAAAAACTTCAAATACCTGAACACATAATTAAAGTACTCCAAAATATCTCACATTTACAATTAATCAGCTCTCAAGTTTAATACAACCAAAAGAATATTTATTACAGTCATCTGCTATAATACAACTTAAAATCTTCAAAAGAAAACAATCTAGTACTATTCACGAGCACTCTCAGTTTCGAACCCTGTTAAAAAAATAAAATTGTGGAATGAGCTACACAGCCCAGTGAGGTTCCAAGACACTCTAGCAGTTCTAATAAATCAAGTAACTGAGCATACGGCATGTATGGTTCAGGGTTGCATGTTGACATATGAACATGAGACAATTATCATTCTACGAGTAATTTGAGCATATCACAAGTATAGCTCATTTGCATGAAATGGTTATCATTATGTAAAATAAACACACATTGAAGGATACGGTGTTCCATTGGAACTATTTCGGTCAACTGCACCTTATAACTTCCGGTCCCCATGGTACTGTCTGGCCATCGCCTTATCCCTCCAGTGGTAATACTCAAGTATACCGAAACGGTGGCCCAGGGTTCCAACCTACCCGACCGAGTCCAGTCCTGACTCGAATAGGTCAGTAACCAAGGGCAGGACCCAAGTTCAGATTAGAGCTTACAACATGCACAAGTAATCAAATAATTTGGCGAATGGTAAAAATTTATTCTTTTGGTAGGTCGAGTGAGATAAAGTACACACTCGCCTTAAAATGGTAGACAATTTCATATGAGCAATTACTAGCATCAATTAACACATAAACATGTAAGCAATATTTGATAATTTTATGTGAACATGTAATTTACGGTAATCAAGTAATCAAGTAGATAGGAAAACGGTAAGTAATTACGGGAAACGGTTAACGGTTGACAGTTAACGGTAGTAATCACGGTTAATTGGTAGACATTTGTCATTTTAATAAGTCTCCATTGGCCGTTTCCCACTTTTACCACTTAAGAGTCGAAAAGATTCATTTCAACTGACTTATGCAGTCATAGCATAATTAATCATTTAAACACATCACATAAATATGCAATTCAAGTATTTTATGTCAAGTAATTCAAATAGTCATATAAATATGCTTTTCAAGCATTTCATGTCGAATAATTTAAGTAATCATGTAAATATGTTCTTCAAGCATTTCATGTCGAATAATTCAAGTATACCTTACTTAAATATGCATGAGTGTGGTAAATACTTAACATGTAATCCTTAACGCTTAATGATCATAGATTAAGCATGTCATAGACTTATTCAAATTACGTACTCCTATATGGAACACTCACCTATTGCAACAAAAGAGTAAGTGCGTATACAATCCTTCAGGTGTTCCCCTCGAGATCCTTTTGAGGGTCTTCTTGAGCACCTGAGCAAACAATAGTTGTCTATTACAAACTATTGCTTAAAATTCCCTACTTATCAAGAAGGTTGTACTAGTGTTCATTCTAAGGAGAATTCATGAATTGAACCTTATTTATTCATAATTGAGGCTCGGAAGTGATGTTCAAAATACAAGAGAAATCTGATTTTTGTCTTTGAAATCAAGTGTAAAATGGTCTAGCAATATCAGAGGAAAATGGAGAGTTTGAAACCCTCAATTTCCTTTAAGTTCGGAAATTTCAGATTCGGCAAGCAAACTTTGAAAAATCAAATCTCACTCTCTATGAGTCCAAAATTGGAAAACTTGGTACCATTGGAAACTACTTCCAAAGTACTAAATGTTTCTAGAAGACACGTTTCCATGATTCCAATGGAAGGTATTCAAAATTTGTCTCAAACTTGCTGTTTTGGCTTGCGAGACAGTTTCGGCGTTGGTTTTCGGCAAAGTTTGGAAATTCAGAAAAATTCACACAATGTGAACCAGCCTCTAAAATTTGGAACTCAATTAGAGTCATAAACAAAGTTTAAAACCTAAGAAGCAGAATAAGAATCGGAGTTTTGAGCACCAAGATATAGTAGCTCAAAGTTGCTGAAAAATCGAAACTTTTAGGCAATTTCCAGGTTCAAATCACAAACTTTGGGATTTTGGTTAAGCATTGAAATGGACTCAGAATGGCATCATATTTGGCAGTATTACACTATTATATAAGGGCTATTCTTCTGTCAAATTTTATGGAAAAATACGTACGTAAAGTCTGTTAACAAAGTCACGAAAGTTTCTAAATTTTTAAGGCAATGCTGCCTTGTGCTACCATTTCCCTTTTCTAAATCATTTGGCAAATGAAATATTTTCAAACATAGTTCATTTGTGTAGAAAATGTCTAAGTAACATTCAATATACATTTTCTTAGGCGATTAACACCAAGAATTTCGAAATAAC